CGGGAAGGGCGGCGAGGGCGGCGCGCGGGCCTCCTGCTCCAGGCGGATCTGGTTCTGCAGCTGCTGGATCTGCAGAGGGTCCCTGCGGGGAGACAGGGGAGACGTGGTCAGAGAGGGCCTGCGAGCCCGACCCCGAGGCTGCCCGAACTCGGCCGCCGACAGAGCTCTAATGAACCGTGACGTGGCCTCTCGGGGTCCGAGTTTCATACACGGCGATCCAAACCAGTTCACCGATCGTGATGAAACTTCTGACCGACTTCCAAGAGTGAGAAAAACCTGACAGGAGTGCTCAGCTTCTCACTTGTGGCCAACTTTTTTGAAAAAGAATTCTATCAGAACGAGAAAGTTACAAAATAAACCCACTTGACTTGTTATTTTTGCAATTTGGGTTAGTCTTGCTTGCCTGCTTCCTTGCTGTCAACTCTGCAATCAGTGACTGTACCACAGGCCGACTTTTATTTTCTGCATTTATTCCTAAAAAGCCTTTACTGTATGAAAAATTTTAAGCTGATGTGCCACTTATTTATACAACCTTAATACACACTAATATTTCACGGCTCAAACACAAGCAAACAAGGGACATCTGTTTTAACATGTTGGTGTCTATTATGCAACAGATTATTGATTTAAGTTTCCCAAATATTTTCCATTGAAAAGAGCAAGATCAAACTTTAATCTTTGAAATAAGAGCAAGCAGCTTTCAGTTAAGTAAAATCTCACTCTTTTACTCAAAAGCTTTCATGTTTTCAGTAAATTGTACATCTAAGGCTTTCTCCTTTCCTCAGGTCCCAATGGCTGTCAAATTGGAACAGAAGGTGGCACTATAATAAGCAAATAAAGCAGGGACAATCTTAAAAAAAAAAAAGATAAAACTATCCAATTTGAAACCTTTTAAAATAAAACAACCTCCCAAAACTTTCTTATGCCCTGACATCTAATCTGCAAAAAGAAACCAGACATTTAAAGCAATAAAAGGAATTAAAACTGCTAATAAAGTAAAAAAAGGATTTAGATCTGTTATCTAGTATCATTAGATGTGAGTTCACATCACCTTCCTGTGCATTTTGTCCCCTTTTGTAATTATCCAGTAAAACTATTACACTTAAATTCATAAAAAGACAAAGACATACTTTCCTGTGAACTTAAAGGAATAAAGAGGGGATAGTTCTGTGGTCTTAATCTGTGCAGAACATCAAAGATGCTTAACAACAGAGGATTCTGTGGAGTCCTACTGAAGTTAATTTCAGCATTTTTGAAGCAGCTATAGCACTGCTGGGCCCCACCACTGCCCAGATGTCTGTGTGGTTTGGGCAGGCCGTCCAGCACATGTGCGCATGCTTCTTGGACTTAGAAGAGCCCAGGGATAGAACTCATAAAAACCCCCACCGGCGCCAAAGCCCGTCATCCAAAGCACACTCATGCGGAATTCAGAGAGGCTCCTTCCTGATCTTCCTCCCTTTGTTACCCCTTTCATATTTCCCAACTATTGCAGAATGCATCCTATTTCTAGACACCCCCCCTTCCACGGATGCTGCACCTGGATGGGAGGCCATCTCTAAGGCGCTGCCACCCTCTCTGCCAGCATGGGTTCACGATGGCCACAGCCACAGCCCCAGCTGCTGTGTCTGAAGGTCTTTCCAGTGTGGCCTGGCAACTGCAAATAGCTGTGTGGTACGGATCTGCTGAGGCTGCCACAAACAACCTGTAGTCAGTGCTGTAGCTGGTGTGAGGATCCCTCTGTTCAGGGCAGGGAATGGCTCCCTGGAAGCCAGTCTTCGGAGAAGCCAGGACAAGAAAGCCAAGCTCTTACGATACTGGTTCTGACTTTCTCCACTCGGTCAGCCTACTCATTTAAGTAATGAAAAGAACTAACCAAATCTGCTAACCTGAGCTTATAGTGGCTGAAGTACACCGTCTTCTCAGTCCTCATTCAGCTGTTTTTATAAAGGTCTATTTTCACAGAGATAAAAAAGTAAAGAGAATAAAAGGTAGCAGAAAGTCAAGGTTGTCTGTGGCCTTTGGAAATTACTTAAAATTTATGTGTCATTAAAAAATTCATCAATTCTCTGGTTTCCCCATTTTTTCTGCTGTTTTTTTTTTACTCTTAACATGAAAGAGGGAAATGAAACTAAACTGAAGCTTTTGCAACTACTATGGAAGAGATAAAAGGTTAGGTTAAGCGTTTTAAATAGCCTTAGTCACAAGTACACTTTCAGTGTCATGTTGTTTAAATCTTTTGCTTTGCGCAACGAATCTGTCAAACTCCTCCCAATTTTTCTCCCCTCTCCTCACCACACCCCCGATTCAAAAGTCAAGAAATTACCCACTCTTACTCACCCTTCATATCTAGAATTAATGTTGTGATCCTGTGACAACCCATTTACAAACAGAAAATGAGGTTTTCAGTAGCCTGCTCAAAGTCACAGAGCAAATTATCTGCAGAGCCAGGTTAGAATCTGTCTGCCCCTGGCTTCTTTCATTACACCAGATACGCCAACATACATTCAAAACCTTGACCTTTGATGTAGTTTTTTTTTTTTTTAAATCTGGGTCCCATTTCCCGCCTAAGGACTTTATTCACTTTTATGCCTCTTTATAGCTATGGGCCCCAGGCTATTAGGATTTGAATTATCAGTTAAGGTTTTAAATATTGACATATGTCAGAATATATACAGTGGTACCTTGGTTCATGAACTTAATTTGTTCCACGATTCTTGAAAAGATGGCTGCAGTTGTGTTCGTGAGGTAAAGATGGCCATGTTTGTCATCCGATGCACAGTTTGCAAAGGCTTCTGTTTGTGAACCAAACTGTTCACAACAAAAGTGTCCATGAACGGAAGTAACACTGTATATGACTTCAAATTTTATTCTTTTTAGGATGAAATGGCACAGACATAAAAAGGTTCTGGAAGCTCAGGAAAGAAATATGTTAAGTAGTCCCTTAATGGAGTCTCCTCCTACATCATAGATAGTCAAGGTCCTCTGCCTATCCCCAAAAGTTTGCACAATGCTTCTAACAAGAATAATTTTGCAGATAGTTGGATGAGGCAAATATTTAGTTTGATAAGGATAAAGGGAGATGTAAATCCCAATCTGCTACTAGATTAATAACACAAGTTTGGAAAAAGTAACCAGACTAGAAACACAGGCCCAAGCAGCAGTGGAACAGGTGAAAAGGGGCCAGATTCGTGGTGCACTGTACCAGCTTGTTTCCCAGCTTGGCCAGCTCCTGGCAGTGGGGTGAAGTGGTGGGGGAATTAAATGAGCAGTGTCTGGTACATGATGTGGATTCAGAAACGTTCCACAGCACAAGAACATAACCACCTCAATCCTGCTGACTTTACAAGAGGAACCTTTAAAAAATGAGAACAACGTTCCACTTAGTACAGAGAATTTTCCTCTTCACTTGTTTCCCTGCCACGCGGCTGGCAAAGGAAGCGTGGTGACAGTGGGGAGGTGTGGAATGGGACGTGAACACAAGACCAGTCACAGGCCAAGCCCTGGACTGACTCGCTTACAGCAGCCTTCTGCACGGATTTTTACTGTCCTCAGTTTTTATAAAGTCTCCACAGGTTGGTGAAGTCAAGTAATGGGAAGGACTGGCTCATAAAGCCTTGTGCTGTGTCATTCTCCCCAAAGTGTTCAGTAAAAGTAAAAGGTGTGCTAACATGTTGTTATCACTATCTATCACTTTTTCTCTGGAGAACTGCTGCCCAAGCTCAAAACAAATGATGTGAAAGGAAACTTCTGGAAAACAACTTCTAGGTAAAATGGAAATTCCCAGGATGTCTCTCAGGACCAGCATCTGGATTGCAAGAAATAATTTGTGCCCTGATCACATTATTAAAGATGCAGTATTTGTGACTTTCTGCAGAAACTCTTGGGATCACAAAACTGGCAAACATTCGTGATTTAAGCATATGCTATTTATGCGTTCTCTTTCATTTTTGATTATGTAATACAGAAGCCACTGTATGATGAAGAATTGGTCCTGCTATTCATATGCCCTTGGAAGGCAAGGGCTGTAATTTCCAGCATGCTCATGACACGCAACCAAACACAGAGCATATGAGACGCATCACTGTCAAGGACAATATTTTTATAACTGTCAGGGTTCATCAGGCATATTCCCTAGGGCAGTCCTACACCAAAGCCCCCATGATGACTGGGAATTTTTAAAAATTTCCATATGAAAGTAGGTAAGTGAATAAAGGGAAGCTCCCACCAACAATTACTCTGTGGCTGAGACTAGCTCAGTGTCATATGTGTGAGAGAGCTCAATATACAGTGGACCCTTGACTTACAAACTTGACTGGTTCCTGAGGGCTGGTTGTAACTAAGTCAATACAGCTGAGATCTGAATGTTTACCTGGGTACATGCTATGCTATAGATAACAAGAGGCAAATGACCCTTTCATGAACCCGATTAATCCAAGTTGTTCGTATGTCAGGCCAGTCATAACTTGAGGGTCCACGTATTAATTCTGGGAATTTAAAAATGACTACAAAGGCTTTTGTTCAGGTGCTACTGATAAAGATCCATCTATGACTTTACTATCTTAATACTCCAATTGTCTTTTTATTCTATTATGTCTTATTTTGTGTCTTCATGTTATAGAAACTAGATTCACTGCAGGTGGGTCAATATGAAAGAATTTGCTTTGTTTAGCACTTATTATAGCCTCCTGGTAAAAGGTATACATAAATCACAAATCAGGTAAAGCTGGTGTCACATGTTTATAATCCCAGCAATTGGGAGGCAAGATCACCACTAGCTCGAGGACAGTCTTGGCTGCATAGTGAGTTCATGGCTGACTTCAATTACACAGTGAGACCCGTCTCAAAGACAGTAACAACAAAAAATTGTGAAGTTGAGAATAATCATTTATAAGAAAAATATAAGCCAAATTAGAGTGTATTGCACTAAGTTTAGAGGAAGTTATCAGTGCAGAATTAACTATTAATTAAAATACATTCCCCTAAGGTTGAAGGAGACAAGAAGAACTTAGATGGACTTTATGTTATATCAAATCAAAATTGACCACTGTTTGGGAATACGAAGGTATGTTTTTAACTAGTTTT